CCATTATTATAAGAGGTCTCTATAGCCAGTTCAGAGGTTTCAAAACAAAACAAAAACCAACCTATTGCAGTCATGTGAATTCCAAGTCTTGTGGACTGTGTAGGGCAGAGACCTGCCCTCGGGGCTTCTGAGACTGGCAAATTTCCACTGGAGCAGGCAGCCTCATCTTTCTCCCTCAGAGGGACTGGTGGGTTCAAACCTCGGACCTTTTGATTAGCGGCTCAACGCCTAACCGGCCGCACACCACCAGGGCCTTCTGTTTGTTTATTTCTCACCCCTTTCAAATAGTTTTGGTGCTTGGTGAGTTTGGCGTCGGTGGGTGTAGGCGTTTGGTTTTCCCCTTCTCACTCTGTCACACTCTCTCTCTGCCCCTCTCCGTTTTATAAAAGAAAACGCTCCCGTCATTGTGACGGTGCACTTAACACTGCTGCTCGTTTGCAGGCTGTTCAGGCTTTTTGCTTTGGTTTTCAAAAAAAGCCCTTCTCGGCTGTCTGAACCCAGGAATCCTGCCAGCCTGGGAGGTCTCCCTGACCGCCGGCCCCTTGGAGCTGCCTGTGTGGAATCACACATGCCGCCCCTGCCCGCACGTGGGCTGTCCTTCCCCTGTGGGTCCCCCTCCCATTGCTGGAGGGTGTGCTCCACGCTCATGCTCTATCTGTGCCTCGCGGAGTTGTGTTGATGTGTAATAGTTTTAATTCTGGAGGAATGGTCATTGAGAGACCAGGATGGAGAACTGCTTCCCTCCGTTCAGCCCTTCCAGGTGGTGCGTGCAGCGCGTGCTGTGCGTGCTCTGCCCATCTTAATGGCGCTCCCTCTTCCGCTCAGTGTGCGGAAAAATTGAGAATGGGCACATGATGAGACACGCACTTCAGGGTGTCTCTCCTCCCTCAACCACAAGGACCCTGGCTGCATTGCCACCGTGCAGCGCCTCCCCAGGCAGGAGGTCAAGGCCAATGACATCGCCTCCCTTCACAGACCCCCCTTGGATTCCTGCAGCAGTCTCCACAGGTCCCCCACTCCCTCTGGGCAAGGGCTTCGCAGGAACGCGCTTTTGCTTTGATCGGTGTCTCCAGTCTCCTGCCAGCTCAAGCAGGCCCGCCTTTCCCTTCCTCTCGTGTCTTCTGCTGTCTTAGAGGAGACAGGTGTTTTGTTCCCAGGATGGCCTTCAGCCCGGTCCCCCGTGCTTTCTCATACCTGGGCTCTGGCGGGAAGCCCCAGAGAGGCCGCTATCTGCTCCATCATTGTGACATCAGGAGCCACGGCCCCTGCCCACCTGCCTGCCCTAGTGGTGATGCCAGCCTTGTCACGCTGGTGTCCGCCAGCTTCTCTACTGTCCCCTGTCTGTGTTAGTGTCATCTGGGTGGAGAGGAGGAGCAGGGCACGTCACACCAGCAACTTACTCCTCAAGCCTCCATCCCTACCTTTACACCTGTTGTGGTTATTTCCTTCCCAACTGAAACCACTGTGTGATGGTGGTGGTGACGGTGGTGGTGATGGTGGTGGTGGTGGTGGTGGTGGTGGTGATGTTGGTGATGGTGGTGATGGTGGTGGTACTGGTGATGGTGGTGGTGGTGGTGGTTTGAGTAATGGCTGCCCAGGAATAGCTTGCTGCTGTTTAATTAAATTCGAGTCCCTCAGCCGTTCATTTACTTAATTACGTCAGCGGGCACTCAGGATACCAGTTTCATTCAGTGATTTGCAGTCTGGCATTCCCATCTCGTGTATTTTGATGCTCCATTTTCGTTTCTCCTCTCTGGCCCTGGTGCACCGTCACTGGGCTCCCGTCTCCTTGGGATGTGTCCCCGTCTGTGTTTGAGGACGACAAACACAAGACGTCCTCGCTCCAGTTCTAGAGCCATGCATTTCCATAAGGACTTTCTGGGCCTGTTAGTGGAGGCCGGTCTCTGGCAGCCAAGACCCGGGTGCATGGGGAGCTGCCTGCTGTCAGAACGTCCAGTGTCCGTGTGCACGTGGTCCAAGTCTCTCTTGGTCCTGGAAGCCTTTCTACTCAGGATCTTCTGGGCATCCTTTCCTTTCGGAAATACCCTCAGTCAGTAACTGAAAATATATATTAACAAGAGGATACCGGCTGTGCTCGTGGTGCTACACTGCCTGGGTAGACATTACAAGCCGCTTCTGGGCCAAAAAGAATGCGCTCCAGTGGGGATAAGATGCCGAACTGTAGGGACCATGCCCTGTTTGCCCCCACCGATTCCCAAGCTCCAGGTGGCTGGTGGTTTTGTAGTGACTCGTCCCCTGTGTGCCTCGGCTCTGCAGCAGGTCCCACATCATTTTCAGTCGTCAGAAAAGCCCTTGAGCTCCGGTTCTTCCAGAGCGGTGATGGTCCCCATCTTCCTTGTGTGGTGTGATCGGTTCAGCTGCCCTCAAGAAATAACCAGCATTTCTGTGGGTTTGTATTAAGTGTAGGATGAATATAAAAGAAAATTACGACTGAGACCCTGCCCTCAGATCCTAGTGGTTTGTTATAGTTTTTAAAGAATGCTGGCGAATGCATATGTTTGCACTGGACTAGAAAAACAATAGTGTATTTATGCGTTTGTTTGAGGGGAAAGAAGTCTGCGCAGTTTTGACCCGGTGAGATGGGAAGTGTGGTTGGAGGGCTGTGTGGGAAGAGGGGTCCTCAGAAGAAAGACCCAGAGAAGAAAGACAAGCGGATATGCAAGGTCCCTCCCGCCAGCTCTGCTGTGCACGCGTCGTCGGATGTCTTGCCTTGTCCCTTTCCGTCCCTGACCTTCACACTCAGCTTTGCTTTCCTCTGATGTTTTCCGAGCTGCTCACTCCCCAGAATCCTTTGTGCCCGTTGTTCAGAGGGGCTGTGGCTTCCCAGAGAACCTCCTGCAAGGGCGGTGACCTTGCCACACGTGACGGAGGTTGGTGGCAGGGGAGTGTCGGTGCTTCAACCACCCCAGCCATCTCATGCCCAAGCTTGTGTGGTGGGTACTGGTGGGTAGGGCCCACTTTGTCCACAGAGCCCAGATCATCTGAGTCTGTGGAAGGTAGCAAGCTTGGGGGTCCCTTTAGTAGGAGAAGTAACAGCGGGACAGCGGGGCTTTAAAACCCGCCTGCGGCACAGTCGGCTGCAAGCGTTAACAGCCGTGTGGGCTTTCTTTCTTACTCCTTCCTACCCGTGTGGACCTCCTGCATCGACAGTGGGTGTGGACATGGCCCCTATCACGTGGGGACTGGCTCGTCTTGTTAGCTCAGCCGCAGGAGCCAAGCGGGCCTGCTGTATCCGTGAGTCAAAATCCGTGTGGAAGCAGGATGCCCCGGTGCGCCGGACTGTGAAGTCCCCCAGGGAAAGAAATCGGAACAGGCCCTCCTGTGAGCATGGTCGGTGTAACTAGAGCAGTGAAGGCGGGGTGAACAGTGAAGGGTATGTGCAGTTGGCCGCCTCTACCCCAAGTGCTAAGACGGAGCGATCGGTATTTGCGCTACACTGGTCACCAAGTCGCCGTGCCCCCCGCGTCGTCGCTGTGCGTGCCCCATAGCCCCTGCCTCCAGCAGTCTCAGGATGCGCGGTAGCTGCTCCGGGACCTGAGGGCGCAGGCCAACTCACGCTGTCTCCCTGCCTTCTTCTGTTGTAGAGTGATCTATAAATGTTCCATGTGCGACACCGTGTTTACCCTGCAAGCCCTCCTGTATCGCCACTTTGACCAACACATTGAAAACCAGAAGGTGTCTGTGTTCAAGTGCCCAGACTGCTCGCTCTTGTACGCACAGAAGCAGCTCATGATGGACCACATCAAGGTGTGTGCGCGCGACCCCCTCTCCTTCACGCTCATCGCAGGCACGCCCAGCGGTCCTGGCTGGAGGTGCTGGATCAGGGGACGGGACGGTGTGCGCGTCCTTGTGCGCGTGCACCTCCCCTGTGGTGGTCGGCCTCGCCTGCAGGGCAGACAAGACCAGCCGGCACACACCGGGCATCCTCTCTGTGGGGGTGGAGTGGCAGCCTTTTCTCTGCCCAGGGCCATTTGGCTCTCTTCAGGGCATTGTGATTCATGGGCCACACAAAACGTTCAGCTTACGAAAAACCGAGCCCGCTCCGTTTGGTGGAGCATTTGCTGAACCGACCCCTGACGTGGTGATGACTGGAAGGGCCTCTCGTTCGTTGGTCAGGTGTGATGGTGGCCACCGTGGATGATTTTAGGGCCCGAGATGGCTTATGGGCTGGACATTCTTAACACTGCACGAATTGCAAGACAGACAGCAGCCCTGGCTCCCTATGTTAGTGTATCACGGACGTCACTGGAGCGTCTTCGTTTTGTTAATCCTCTCCCCCAGTCAAGGCTGCCGGGGTCCTGTCGGGCAGGGAGTTAAGTGGTGGGCTGCTAACCACAGTTGGCTGTTCAAACCCACTAGCTGCTCTTCGTGGGGAAAAACAGGACTGTCTACTCCTTAAAGACGTGCAGCCTTGGGGACTCTTCAGAGCAGTTCTCTGCCCGAGAGCAGTGGTTCTCCACCTTCCTCATGCCACGGCCCTTTCATACAGCTCCTCATGGGGTGGTGACCCCCAACCATCACATTGTCTTCGTTGCTACTTCATCACTGTCACTTTGCTGCTGTTAATGAATCGGGTGACCCTGTGAGAGGGTCGCATCCCCCATGTTGAGAACCTCCGCCCTAGAGGGTGGCTGCGAGTCAGAACTGACGATGGCAGTGATTTGGATTTTCTTTTGGAGGGGGGAGTGGTGTATAGAGTTTGCATGCAAATTAACTTAAAAAAAAAACAGGATTATGAAATGTCCAGGGTGCAGCGTGGTGCTTAGCACCTCTTCTGTTCATGTTCTTTGATAAATGATGCAGGTCCAGTTTGGACCATCCACCCTTCGCCCCAGGAGAGAGGGGTGCTTGCATCAACGAGGGGGATCCAGAAGGCTGATGGGAAGCCATGAAAGTTTAGCAGCACCCTATACCCCCGCCCCTCCACCTTGTATTTGACCTCAACTCCCTGAGGTCAGCGAAGAGCCCCGGCCTCTCGGCTGACCCCTCCCCGGTTCATGCTGTGTGTGGAGAGGAGACAATACCCACGGCTCAGAGGATCTCCGTCTGTGTTTAAAAGGGGGAAAGACCTCAGGCCCTGGAGTATGGTGACTGGAAGCACTTTCTCTTAAACTTTCTATCTCTTGCTACATCCCCCCACCCACAAAAATAAAGGGGGGTCGGTTTAAAGAACAATTACTGTCTCTGAAGGGTTCTGGTCTCATGGTGGCTACATGAATGGGCTTTAATCCCAGACATTTCCTTTTTCGAACACATTCCTGAAGTTCGTATCAAGGAATTTCCTCTTTCTCGTGAACTTAAAAAGGCCCAGACAGTCTATTCTTTCTGGGCAAGGCGAGAGTGGGGATGGGCCAGCGTGCCGGTGTGAATAAAAGGCCCGGAATTAGAGTTCCACCACCCTCACGGAAATACGATAAAAGCCTCTTAAGGTATTTCAAAGGTTTTAGCTAAAGTTACAAAGGTATCCTACCAAGCGCTTATTCGAGGAATGAACATGAGAAACTAAAATCTGCTCATGAAAAACCCAGGGTACTGGAATGAGCCCATAGGCTCTTAGCATATTACTATGTGTGTATATGCATATATGTGTATATATATTTATATTTATATGCATATGTATATATGTGTGTGTAGATATATGTATGGAGGGGCCTGCGTTCCTTCTTCAGGGGTCTTTAAGGGTTTGCTTTCTGGATCTCACCTCTCTGTCTGGGGGTGGAGTCATAGACTCGTGGGTTAGGGTCTCCCTTGTGCTCATTTGTCCTTTGAAAGAATACAAGGTTCCAGGACCCAGAGACTGAAGAGGAGGGGTACAATTACGGGGCCACCAGAAGGGAAGGATTATTTTTATTCAGCCAAACTGTTACCGGAACTGTATGGTGTTCAATGTACACCCCGTTCAAGTGTGTTCTTAACGTTTTAAGGTCGTGTTCTGCATTTCCAGGCTTGGGGATGGGTCAGCGTCACGTTTTGATGTTTAGACAATGGGTCTAGCTCTTGTTATTTAAAGGAGGAATACATCAGAGAGAGAGAGACAGACAGACAAAGAATAGGGGTTTCCCCGCAGTCACCTAAAGATAGATCTTCGTTTGTCCAGTTTAAGCAAGTTCGTGTCATTTCCTCGTTCTACCCAAATGTACATTTATAAACCCTTGTTCACGGTGCTGCTTGCATTTAAAGGAAACTTCAAGTTATAAGCATTCGTTCCCTTACAGGAGCTAGGAAAAACCAATTCTAAAAGAATTAAGTGCCTCCCCACCCCCTCCAATAAAGGAGAGCTAAAATAATTCAATAGTGTTTCTTTGGCAAAAAAAGAAATTTGTTAAACAGCCTATGAACAAGTAAATTAGAAATGCTCATTTCAACACAATGATTGTTTCCACTGCCTCGGCAGACTATTTTGCTGCTCTTCTGTATTTATTTCTTTAGTAAAAGGTCATTTTATTGGGGGCTCTTATAGCTCTTATAGCACTCCATGCATCAATTGTATCAAGCGTATCTGCACACATGTTGCCATCATTCTTTTCTGGACATTTACTTTCTCTTGAGCCCTTGGTATCAGCTCCTGTTTTCCTCTCTAGCACTTTCAAGTTATCTTAGGGGGGAAAAGAGGAAATGCCCCTCCAACTTTCAAAGTAGGTAAAACCAAATTTTCCTAGAAACGTACTCGAAGATGACGTTTTAACGAGATCGTGTGTCTTTGGGTCTGAAGCGGTTAAAAATGCACAGAGCTGGCATCTGTCTGAGCCAGGGCGCCCTGGCACAGGGAGCTTCCGCTCTGCAGAGGAAAAAGAAACAAAGGCTGCTCTTTCCCTTTTTGGGTGACCAAGACGTCAGGTTTTCTCTTCGCAAAGGAGCCTGGGTAGCCATTCAGAGCAGGCCCTTGTGCCTGCCAGTTCCGTGGTGGCCTCTGTGGGTGGTCCTTGTAAACCCTGCTCATGAGAAAAGTAGAGAGGCGCTTTATCCTAGAGTGAGACAGGGCCAGAGAAAGCCGGCTGATTCTGTGCTGTGTGCAGACAACCCCGCCGGGGAGCCTGGGGCGTGGGGTAGGCGGAGTCCAGGGCGACACCGCGTCAGGCCTCAGGGTGTCGGAGCTCCCTAGGGAAGGGCTTTCATGCTCTTCTTTCAAGGATTTGAAACTTTCCCGTTTCACTGGCGAGAGGAGAAGCCCTTCGTTGGAGATAAATTGTACACGGAGGCACAGATTTCTTGGCTGCTTTTGTTTGGGACGAAGTCCTGTCCAAACCTGAACCAACTGAGCAGGTCGTCAGAATCAAATTACTCCAGTCGTGCCCCATGTGAAATCAGATCCTGTGAATTTAAAGTTGACAATGGCGTGGAAGCCCATTTTGTGGCCAAGCCATTTACCTGGGCTTTTGGGGGATGAGCTGCGTATCGTTTTTCTGGCACCGTGGGGTTGTTACGTGTTGGGCTGCAGGTCGGCAGTTCAACCCCTCCAGTTGCTCTTTGGGAGAAAGATGAGGCTTTCTGCTCTCGTAAAAATTTATAGCTTTGAGGGGGGAAAAATTACATTAAAAAAAATGAACAGCCTTGGAAACCCAGAGGGACTCTCCTGCTCTGACCTGTAGGGTTGCCATGAGTCAGAATCAACTTGATAGACGTGAGTTTTTTGGGGGGGGGTTTTGGTTTTTGGCATACAGTTTTCAGGGCTGAGCACTATTAGGAAGAAGGGAGGGGTTGGATGATTGGAAGAATAAAATCACAACCGTAACTGTCCCCCCTCCCCCTACATAATATACAAAACAAAACAAAAAAGACCTCAACCCTAAGTGCTTGTTAAAGTAGGTTGGCCAAGGATCTGAAACACCGAATAGCCTATCCTAATATTTTTGAGTCGATGGGAAGACCCAGCTGCTTTGGCTCAGAGATGACTTCTTGGAAAGAGGTCTGGTTCCTTACAAGAGGACAAAGTGCCAGGATTGATTGAGACTCGTGCAGAGTTCTCCCCGTTAGTAACTTTAAAATGGCACAACGAAGTGAGCTTTGCAAAGTATTTTTGGAACTGGGGGCACCTAACTGGCATCGCTCGTGAGCGTCACTGCTCACGTCTCTGTCTTTACGCGCCTATTTGGCTGGGGCCTCGCCTTCTGTGCGCGCGAAAGCGGTGCATGTCGATCCTGCAAACTGTCGCGTCCTGTGATAACCCACGGGCTTTCCTTGCAAGGTGTCCCCTGTGACGGCGCTGTCCTTTCTCTTTGTCATCTAGTCTATGCACGGGACCTTGAAAAGCATCGAAGGGCCTCCGAACTTGGGGATAAACTTGCCCCTCAGCATTAAACCCACAACTCAGAACTCAGCGAATCAAAGCAAGGACGATACCAGATCCATGAACGGGAAAGAGAAGCTGGAAAAGAAGTCCCCCTCCCCTGTGAAGAGATCCGTGGAGCCCAAGAAAGTGGCCAGTCCTGGGTGGACGTGTTGGGAGTGTGACCGGCTGTTCACGCAGCGGGACGTGTACATCTCCCACGTGCGGAAGGAGCACGGGAAGGTAAGGGTGGAGGAGCCTCGCCGAGCGGGGCCACCGTGAGCACCACCCAGGGTGGCTGGGCCCGATCGCTTCCCCTGTAGAGCGAGCGGATTGGACTGTGGCGTTTCCAAACCCTTCCGAACTTGTTCTGGGGCCACTCAGACACCCCGAGGCCTGCAGTAGGGCAGCTGCCATCAACGCTGTGTAGACAGTGGAGCCTGAGAAGAGTAGTCTGTCACAGCGGAGGGACTTTAACTTGACCCTGGCAGCAAGGGAGGATGGAAGGAAGTTGGGGGTGAGAATGTCTAGTGGTGTTTGAATGACGTGCACCAGGCGCCCCTTGAGAAGCCCCGTCTGTGACATGAATCTTGGAGAAATAGTCTGAAATCACTCAGAATTGGAATGTGGATCTTTTTTGTACTAAAAACTTCATTTGGTGGAAATATTCTCTCTCTCTCTACACACACACACACACACACACACACACACACACACACACACACCGCCCCCTCACCAATCTTCAGCAGTTGCCAGCATGAGTCTCGTCTCATCAAATCCATTTCCCCCTCTCAAGGCTGTCTGGGCTGCAGTCTTTTTAAAGCAAATGCCAGACGTGCAGCCTTCTACCCATAAGTGCTTGTTGCACATCTCTTGCTAGGAAGGATTAAAAAGAATTTTTTTTTTTTTTTAAGTCTGATCCAGTCCTTAGCACAGTGGTTTTGCATATGAGGTGATAACCAGGCGTCATCATACCTGGTTGTCTCAACATTGGTCTGTCTCAGTCAGGGACAAAGCAGCCCACCTACTGCCTCTGGTTGCTGGGGGACACAACTCTTACTTAGTAGCTGTCCGCCCTCTCATCCTTTTCTTGTTTAATATGCGATGGATTCGGTGGTGGAAAAATCTGGTGGTGTGTTCTGAGGTTGTCCCTACATTCCCAGGTTCCACTAATAGCTCCCTTTTGACATAGCTAGCCTGTTCTTGATCTGGTAATTCCTAGAATCGTGATGGAGAGAGAGAGTGTGTGTGTGTGTGTGTGTGTATATACACTCAGTCCTGATGGTGGTGTGGTTATACACTGGGCTGTGAAACACAAGGTCAGCAGTTTAAAACCACCAGCCACTTCAAGGGAGAACGATGAGGCTTTCTACTCCAATAAAGATGCACAGCCTGGTAGTCCCACAGGGTCAGTTCTGCTCACCTTCACGGGGTCTCTAGGAGCCGAATGACAGTGAGGAGTTGTGTGTGTGTGTGTGTGTGTGTGTGTGTGTGTGAGATTGTTTCATTTTAGAGAACATAGATATTGATTTGTAATCAGCAAGCAGAGACCCGATCCTTGGTGGCACAGTAGTTAAAGCGCTCGGCTGCCAATCCCGAGGTTGGCACTTCAAACTAACCAGCTGATCCACAGGAGAAAGAGTGGCCGTTTGCCCCAGAAATAGATTCAGCCTTTGAAACCCCCTGGGGCAGTGTCCTCGGTCCTGTGGGGCCCTGGGTGGCACTGGACTCCACGACAGCGGATGTTTGGGGTTGAGATCCCTGCAAAGCTTGTTCTGTTAAAGGTTGAAAGGATGACTCTGGAGTCCTGTTTATTTTAGCGAGTTTTGTCTACACCACTCGGGAAGGGAGCTCGTTTGACCTTGTGCCATCCACAAGTTACGGACTGCCTTGAGCCGATCACGAGCGCCACACATTGCCAGGAGAGATTTTTATCTTGTTTCCCTACACTGAGGGCGGTGTCTCGGCCAGTTCTTCTAGAACGCAGTGACCGGAGGAGCTGCGGTCGGTCACGGCCGTACACTAAGCTCCCTGTGAATCCCGAGGCGTGTGTAAGGGTTAATACTTCATAAAACATCCTGCCTGGACACCGAGCTTCTAGTTCCTTCAGGACTGATGTGGGAGTCTAGGAAGGGCCTGTTTGGCTTGGCTCACAAGCTGAGCCCATAAACAGGAACACAGGCGCAGGCCTTCCTGGTCCTCCGGGCGCCTGGTCTTTGGCTGGAACATTTGGGAGGGCTGCTCTTTCTCTCACCCTGTTCCTTTCCTGCCCCCCTCTCTCTGCTGAGAAGGACTCGAGCAGTGAAACCGGCAAGAAAGACAATAGTCTTAAGCACCGTGGTGCAGAGACCAGCGGGAGTTGGGCGTGGGTGTGCCGTGTGGACGCTGAGGTCAGCTCAGGCCCTCCATCACGGACGCTGGACTTTGTAGGATTACTTTAGAAGGGATGGAGGAGCCCTTACCTTTGACTTAGATTATGGCTCTGGTCCTGAAAGAACTTGGGAGGGAAGGAAGGGGAGGAGGAAGACTAAGCTAGCGATGTGCGCAGAGCACATCGGACGTGGAGTGAAGCATCCGGTGCCGAGCTTTCCTTCTCTTTGTCCGACCTTCCCACCTATGAACTTGCCAGCATCACGTCCCGTTTTCTCCTTCCCGCCACACATGACTCAAGTCCCTTCCTCCCCGTCTTTTCCACGTCTCCATAGCTTATTTTGAAGTACTGATATTCACCACGTTCTCCTCTGTCTGCCTGCGGAGCCTCTGTTGAAACCTGTCCGTCATGGACAGCCTGACTGGCGTTTGAAATAATCAGTGGTATTCTATCAACCTGCAGGCTACTGCAGGACCGCATGGGGGAAGTGCTGGATTAGGGGGCTCCGGTCTGTTTGTCCGACTAGTGGACGAGTCAAGAGTGAATGCAGGAAGCCTTAGCTGCCTCCTCATTCAAATGGGGGTGACTCCTGCCTTAGTGGTTTCTGGGTGTTTTGCGTTGGGTGGTGGTGTTGGGTAAGTTTTGGGCTGACGATCGCAAGGTCGGTGGTTGAAACCTACCAGCCATTCCTTGGGAGAACGTTGAGGCTCGCGGCTCTGACGAAGATTTACGGACTCTCAGATCCTAAGCAGGATCCCAGGAGCTGGCACGACCCGATGGCAGTGGGTTTGCTTTTGGGGTGGTACACACTGAGAACTGTCTGAGCATGTCAGCGGCGCCGGCGCGGTGGTTTCAGCAGGAAAGGAAGCACACACGTGACCCGGGGTTTGGGAATTTCCCAGCCGACTGTCTCGGGAGAGAATCGTGTGTGGTCTTTGTGACGCGCCCCGCCCCCCC